TCCAGAAGGTGCAAGATCATACAGCCCTCTGTGCTGTCACACTGTTATCTCTGTGATGTAACACAGCCCTCTGTGATGTCACACTGACATCTCTGTGATGTCACACTGACCCTGTTATATCACACAGCTTTTTGTGATGTCACACAGACATATCTGTGATATCGCAAAGCTCTCTCTGATGTCACACCGATATCTCTGTGATGTCACACTGTTATCTCTGTGATGTCACACAGCTCTCTGTGATGTCACACTGACATCTCTGTGATGTCACACAGCTCTCTGTGATGTCACAATGACGTCACCGTGACATCACACAGCTCTCTGTGGTGTCACAAAACCTCCTGTGATGTCACACAGACATCTCTGAGATGTCACACCACTATCTCTGAGATGTCACACTGACCCTGTGAGGTCACACAGCTTATTGTGATGTCACAGAGACATATTTGTGATGTCTGATTGACATCTATGTGATGTCACACGGCTCTCTGTGACGTCACACTGACATCTCTCTGATGTCACAGAGACAGCCGCTCCTGTCCCGCTGGGTCCCAGCAGTGCCTGGCAGCCATCCTGCATCCACGTCAGGATGCTGGCCAAGAGAGGCCCTGGAAGCTGAGGTAGCTGATTTGAAGCTTTTGCAGGTGCCCACAGGTCAAGGCCAACAGTGTTCCCTCAGGGTACAGCATTCCTGAGGGGCTTCCCCAGAGCTGCCTGATGCCACCCACTCCTTGTGGGTGCCAGGATCCATAGGCCTGGCAGCCTGAGCTTGCTGCCGGGGAAGGCCTTGGAGCAGATCCTCCTGAGTGCCATCCCACGGCACGTGCAGGGAACCAGGGGGTCTGCTGGAGGGAGGGAAACTCTGCGGAGGGACAGGGACAGCTGGGGTCCTGGCAGGATGTTGAGGGCTTCTGTGCAGTGTTTGCAGGGTGTTGGTGTTGGAGGTGTGTTGGGGAAGGAGTTGTCTGGGAGGTGAGAGGTCTAGGCTGGAATTTGAGTCCATTTGAAGGCAGCATCTGTGGTTTGGCACAGCTTTGCTTATGGGGCGCAGAAAGAATATCTGTGACTGTTTCTGTTCATGGTCCTGATTCTGCTGCAAGGAACAAGAGGGGAGAGCTGTACTTTATTGGCCACTTAGATCTCTATACCGGGGCAGGGTTAACCATTTTTCCATCTACTCATTGTTGCCAGCAGTTGCTCCAGGTGCTCCTGCCAACAGCCCCTGCAGGCAGGAGCACAGCCCCCAGTGCACGTGGGTTTGGCTCCCTCTGGCACAGAAGCCCCCAGGGGCACAGGTCTCTGGGGCAGGAGACGGGCACCAGCCCTGCCAGGGCTCGGGGGGTGGCAGGTCTGCCTGGGCCAGGACTCTGCCTCACCTGCTGGTGTCAGCGCTCCCCGGGCCCCAGGGCTCAGAGCAGCATTCCTGCCCTGGCCCACAGTTCCTTGTGCTTACCACACCCGCGGGTTTAGGATGGCCACGGGCCGGACGTGTCCTGAAGAGGCCGTGGCAACTTCCATGGAAGGTTCTGTGCCCTTCCCAGCACGGCTTTGTTCGCAGCCCTGGGGGCTCCTTCTGCTGCCCTGAGCCCGCAGAGCAGGGCAGCGTTTGCTGATGGTCTGAGCCGTTCCTAAAGATCCTGTTGGGCTGTCTGACACACTTGGGGCAAGGCATTCCTTCCAAGCTGGGCCACTTTGGGGGGCTGGGGGTGGCCCCAGCACAGGTGGCAGTGTGTGCAGGGGCCCTTTGTGACACACTGCAGCATGGTCACCATGGCATGGAACAGTGTGTCCAAGGGCCCTTTGTGACACGTGGTGACATAGGAGCTGGTGGTGACAAGAGCACACCACAGTGCTCGGTGCACGCGACAAGGACAGGACGGGACAGAGCAGTGCTGTGAGGAGCCCCTGCACAGCGCACTCGTTCGTGTCTGACCCGGAGCTTTTCCGAGGTGTTATTCCTGCAGCTGACCTCGAAGCCAGACCACAGGACTTGCTGACCCGTGGCCTTTCCGAGGCTTCTCTTTTGCAGGCACCCTCAAGGGCAGAGCGTGGGACTTGGTGCCCTGGAGGCATCTCCCATCCCTCCCACCAGTGCCCTTGAGGCAAGAGCACAATCCTTGACAGGAGTCTCCTGTCCTTGTGGCAGGAGCCCTCGAGACCAGAGCGCAGGACTTGCTGTCCTGAGCCTTCCTGAGGCTTCTCTCTTGAAGGTGCCTTCCAGGCACGAAAGCAGGACTTGCTGACTCGGAGCTTTTCCGAGGCATCTCTCCTGCAAGTAGCCACAAATCCAGTCACGGACATGGAGCAGAGAGCCCTGAGAGTGCCCAAGCTGGCCGGGGTGGAGGAAGAGGAAGAAGGCCCTGGAGCTGCCCCTGCACACGAGACTGAAGAAGTGCTGCTCCTGCCACTCCTTGACCACGTAAGGCTCACTGCCCACAGCCACGGCCACTGACTGCTGCCTGGACACTTTGTGCCCTGTGGATTTGCAGCCCTGCACCAAGCTGAGCCCCGTGCAGCTGATGCTGAGATCTTTTATTCTTCCCTTCATACAGGACAATAGCCAGGTGCAGCAGCTCTCCATGCAGCTCTTCCGAACAGTGGTGACTCTTCCACAGGAAAAGGAAAATGAATCCCTGAAGGCACACGTGCGCCAGAGCCTGCTGCCACTCTCCTTCCACTGCCATGATGAGAACCAGCGAGTGGCAGAGGTGAGGACTCGGCAGCTGCTGCTGTTCCCTGGCAGGGGCTGGGCTGCCTCCTGCCCTGGCACCTCGCAGGCTGCAGCCTCCTCCAGGCCTTGGCACAGGGACGGGTCCTGCGCCCTGGGCTGTGGGGCCATCTCCGCGTCTCTGCTGCTCTCCAGGCTTCTCAGGAAACGCTGCTTTGTGCGGCCGAGTTCCTGAAGAGGAGGGATCTTGAAAAGCTGGTGAAGAACCAGGAGCTGTGGAAGTTCACCGAGTCGTGGCGTGTTTTCCCTCAGAGGTGTACACTCTGCAAACTTGAGCTGTGCTGCTGAAATGCTCAAGCAAGTCTGTGCTGCAGGGCACCCCATTTCTCCTTTGGCTGATTGCAGCCCGGTGCTGAGCTCCAGCAGGGCCCTGGCAGAGCCCAGAGCAGCCTCAGCACCCACAGAGCCCGGCTGCAAGGAGAGAAACCAGAAACCACCCGTCAGCTGAAGGCTCCTGTCCCCTTGTCCCAGCCGCCCGCGGTGCCCCGCACTTCCTGATCCAGACTGGACCCCACCTAGAACACTTCCTCTACAAAAACTAACAACAAATTATTGAAAATAGATAACAGACAAATAGGGCAACAAGAAAAAAGGTCAAAAATCTTATCTCTGTCAGAGGCTTGGGGAAGGCCCAACCCCTGCATGCCAGGGAAAAACCCACCATGGGTGAGGGAATCCCAGGCTTTCTCCCTTCCCCTGCACTGCCCCCGTGGTGATCCCAAAGCAAACAAGGGCAGTGGAGCAGCCCAAGCCCTTCCTTGCCTGCAAAGCAAAGCAGCCCCTGCACAGGCTCTGCAGTCCCACCTCTGCTCCCACCATGGGGGTTTGTTTGTGTCGGGCTGGCTGCCCCAGCCCAGCCCCAGCCCGGGGCACGGTGGGTGCTGGGGGCTGTTGGCAGGGCCAGGAGCCCACTCCCATTTCGTACCCACCCCAGCCCATGCCCCCAGCCCTGCCAAAAGCAGCCTGGCAGCCGACTGAAGGATCAGCTGCATCCACCCCAGCAAAGGGGAACCTTTGGTTCCCGGCCAGGCTGTGCAATGCCCAAATCTGGGAGCATCCCCCTGCGTGTGTACTCATCTGCAAATTCCCTGTGGAGCCTGGCTTTGAAGGAGGTGTCAGAATCAAAGTCCATCACCTTCAGCCTGCCAGAGACCAGGTGGAGCAAGAAGTTTTCATTCTTGATGTTGTCCTCGCTGTCCCCAGCAGCAGCAGCTCCACCTGGTGCAGCTTCTCCAGGGGCTCCTTCTCCTTCCCTGGGGCCAGACCAGGCTGTCAGGGTCCTGCCCAGGGCCCCAGCCATCGACAAACCATGGCAAGCAAAACCAAGGGGATGGTGGCCACCAGTGCTTGCCACACCAAGTCTCCAGCTCAGCTCCAGCCCAAGAGCTGCGTGTTCCCTTCTGCTGGCCCCTACTCCGAGCTACAGGCAGGACAAAACCTGTCTGGTTTGCTTTGCCACTGATTGCCAAGATATGTGTGGAGCTGTTACCTGCCAGGCCCCTGGATCCAACTGTGCACGTGGATCTCTCCCATCTTCTAGGGCAGAGGAACACCCTGCACCCAAGGATCACGGAAAAGCTCTTCTAAGGATGGCCTGTCCAAGGGCTGCATGGACAAACACCTCTTAGCCACATCCTGGCACTCTGGGGAGAGAAACCAGAAATCACCAGTCAGTTGGAGAAGTTGTCCCCCCGCTCACAGGCCATGCTGGATGTGCCCAGAGCTGGGCCTAAACTTTCCCATCAATTCCCTGTTTTGGAGGAGAGCAAGACATGTGCCACCTCCTCAGCAGCTGCCAGAGCAGGATGCTCATGAGCTGCTGCTGTCTCCCAGCACTGGTATTCCCCCTGTGACCAGAGATGAGGATCCACTTTGAGAGAGCCGTCGTGGGAACAAGATCTGCCCCCAGATATCTCCTGGCCCCTCCTGAACGGGTGCTTCCCCATGACCAGGTGGTGCAGCAGGAGGCCCAGGGACCAGATCATCGCTGCCTCACCGTGGTAGCGTTGGTGGTGGATCCACTCTGGTGGGCTGTAGGACAGGGTTCCTGTGGAACACAGACAGAGCTCATCAGGGGGATGCTGCTGCTCCCAGAGCCTGGCCCCAGCACCCCTGGGCATGCGGGGGCTGCCCCAGTGGCACACGGGGTGATTGCTGCCCTCTCGCCAGCACCTGGGACTTGTGTACAGACTCGGGGCTGGAACAGAAGCCACTGGTGCTGGAAGAGGGCAGCAGAAGCCCTGGGAAGGCACAACCATTGTAATAAATAAAAGGGTCTTTGTTCATCAAAACGAACATTGAAGGAGATAAGAATTTGAACTGAGTAGGGAATTTCAAGATGTGGGAGGGAACAGCAAGTATCCTGCTTAAGAATTGTGCAGATGCAACTAGCATAGTGGTAACTAGTGTAACCAATTATATACAAGTTAACTTTTAGGCCAAGGAAAATCTGCAAGGAAGATGAGGAGCCTTCATTCCTACGACCAAGGGCAGAAAAAAAGACCCCCTAGCAACCAATTGCACCGGTGCAGAGTGCATTGAGAGAAAACACGTCAACTGGAAAAAAAAAAAAAAAGGGACTATAAAAACAAAAAGGGCAAAGGGGGAGGGAGCGCCGTGGTAGAGCAAAGACTCCCTGGCCGCCCAGCGCTATCTTTTGCTTACTACCGCTTGCTTAATAAATTCTTGTTAATTGATTTATCTATAATTGGCCTTTCCAATTGAATTTGTCCATAACAAGTTTGATGCCGTGACTCGGATAAGGGTGACCGGGTGGGAATTCCTAATCCGGGAGGCGTCCCGCTGCCTTTCAGCGGCCCTGGTGCAGCTTTTCCTTCCCGGACCCTTACTGACCAACCTAAATTTGGTATTAAGCAAAAGGGATACCAGAAACCCCGTAATCTTTGTGCATGAAGCCCGGGCGAAGATGCAGGACAGTGTGAGTATAAAAGTGGGGATCCGCTCAGTTGGGGTTGGGATCCCAGGACATAACACGTGAGACATCCTTTTAGGACGAGGCAAGTGTGGACTTCTAAGTAGTGCAGTTTCCAGTCCCCGAGAAGGGCTGGGCCACGAACAGGGGGCCGCGAGTGTGTGTGTGCGTGAAGGTGTCCTGGAAGATGGGACAGAGGAAAAGCAAGCCCTCTGATTCCATGGGGACGGGGACCCTGGTAATGCTTCCCCAGATACCCCCTGACAGTCCATTAGGTCTAATGATAAAATCTTGGGGTGAATATCCCCCAAGAAAAGGGAAGGATAGGGCAAAAATGATGCATTACTGTATGGAAGTATGGGGACGGAAACAGATCCGTGGTGAAAATTTATTTTGGCCAGTGTTTGGAAGCTTCGAGGACTGGATTTGCCAGGCTTGAAACATTTATGTAAACTGTAAAGAACCTTTTGATATGGAAGAGAGCAAGTTGCCACTCTCTGGATAGTGGGGGAAACAAGAACAAATTTTTTTGCCTTAAGCACCAAAGGTAGGAAAAAGAAAAGTAAAAAGCCTGAGGAAATTCCAACTGCACCCCCTGTACCATACATACCACCTCCTCCTCCACCCCCACCAGCACCACCCCTAATCTACCCTGATTTAGATCAAGGGGGAGATTTTGGTAACCAAGAGGTAAAAATCCTGGAGCCGGTTCCAGAGGAAAATCGCCGTATTACTTGTAGCCAAACTACAGGGGAAAGAGAAAGGAAAGGGCAAGCTCTATATCCATTAAGGGAAGTAGTTTTTGGAATGATCCCTAACCCCAATGCTGGTCAGCAGGGACAACCAGCCCAAATTCCGGGAATAGGTTATGTGGAGGTACCTCTCAACTCAGGAAATGTGAGGGAGTTCAAGAAAGAGATGGAACACCTATTGGAAGACCCCCTTGGAGTTGCAGAGCGGGTAGATCAGTTCCTGGGGCCCAGTGTGTATACGTGGGACGAAATGCAGTCAATACTGGGGATCCTATTCACATCTGAGGAGCGAGGGATGATCAGGACAGCTGGTTATGAGGATTTGGGATAGAGATTATCAGGCAGGACCCCAAGCAGATACTAAGTGGCCTTTGCAGTGTCCTAATTGGGATAAGCAGGATCCCCTCCATAGGACGCATATGTCAGACTTCAGAACAATTCTTATCCAAGGGATCAGAGAATTAGTCCCTAAGGGGCAGAATGTAAATAAAGCTTTTTGTGAGAGTCAAAAGAAAGATGAGGACCCCACGGAATGGTTTGGACGGCTCCGGAGATCTTTTCATCTGTACCCTGGAGTAAATCCCGATACTCCAGAAGGACAGATGTTGTTAAAGACTCAATTCGTGGCCAGAGCCTGGCCTGACATTAGGAGAAAGTTGGAAAAGATTGAGGATTGGCACGGTAGAGGCCTGGATGAGTTGTTGGGGGAAGCTCAGAAAGTGTATGTCCGGAGAGAGGAGGAAAGACAGAGGAAACAAGCGAGAGTAATGATGGCTGTGGTACGTGAAGGGCAGAAGGGAATGCCTGATTGGTTCCAGGGAAGTAAGCCAAGCGGCCAGGGGGTAGAAGGAGGGAGAAGAGAAAAGGAGGGTGGACAGGGAAGCTGCTTTTCTTGTGGTAAGAGAGGGCATTTTCAGTAGGAATGCAGAAAAAGGTTGGCAGATGAAAAGCGATTCAAGGAAGATTAAGGGGGTCATGGGCTCTATTTGCTGGGGGCCAAGGAAAGATCAGAGCCCCTGGTAAAACTGAGAATTGGTCCCCAGCAGCAAGAATATGAGTTCCTTGTGGACTCAGGAGTCGAGAGATCAACGGTTCAAACCCTTCCCTCAGGGTGTAAATTATCAAGAGAAACAATACAGGTAGTTGGGGCAAAAGGGGAACCCTTTAAAGTACCTGTAATTAAAGATGTGATTTTTGAAACCAGCTCCAAAATAGGTATAGGGTCACTGCTATTAGTTCCAGAGGCTGACTATAACTTACTGGGACTAGATTTGATGATTGAATTAGGAATTGGAATCGACATAAATGACAAAATGCTAAATATTAAATTTAGCATTTTGTCATATTAAATTTAAATGTTCTCTTCGGGTAGAGGATGAACAGAAAATTAATCCTGAAGTATGGTATACCCCAGAAACAGCAGGCCAATTGGACATAAAGCCCTTTGAAGTAATGTTAAGGAATCCTGAAGTCCCAGTTAGAGTTAAGCAATGCCCAATTCCAAA